TCTTATCAACAGTGTTGAATAGATTTTCTATTGTTTTCTTCTAAAATGTGGGATGCTCTTTGGTAGTCTATGTAGCTTCAAGGCACAGACACAGCCAGGTACTGTGTCCATGTTTATTTTATCTTTCAAGACTTTTCTTTTGAAAAGAAGGTCAAATACCAAAGTGATTTTACACCAGCAGGCTAAATGTTCCTTTTAAATTTACTTACAGACAAGATAGATTGTAAATAAACTTTTGATCAGGTCACAGTGATTCAGGGGATAAGAGAACCAGGTTATAACATCAAGAGAGAAACAAATATATCTCTGCCAATGTAAATAATGAGCACACTACTTGCAGGTGCCAAATCAGACAAGATGATCATGTATATTATAACAAAACACCCAAAACATTATACATCTTTACATGGCTGTGATATGTGTCATCAGGCTTATTGAAAAACAGTTAAAGGTTTACTACAGTGAAGGACTCATAGAGTTATAACTTGTGATGCCACGTATACCTGCAGGAGCATGGGGCAGACTTCTGACAATCCAGAGCTTTCCCAGAGAGAGGCTCAGATTCAGAGACTGTACAATCCTGAGTTGGATGGAAAGAAATTCAGGATAGTTCCATTCTAGAAACTCTCAGGATATATGTAGTTGGTTAGAAGGTTGTAACTTTAGTTTGGTAAGATTCTGTCCATTAGATGCAACAAATAAAAGATTGAATTCTACTGAATATCGCCGTGTCATCTCTGGGCTTGGGCCCAACATAATTTCACATAAAGGGATTTTATTAATAGTTATCTCTTGGTGGTTAATCCATGTTGATTATAATATATGCGAGGAGCAGCTTCTGAACATCATTATTATTTATTTCTTAGTTCTCACTGTGTTACCAACAACCAATATCACCCACACATTTCTAAATAATTCCAGACGTTACCTGTAAAAGTAGATCAGTGAAGGACTGGCCCGCAGTGCTTCTGCCAGTGAAAATAGAGTTGGCTGCAACAGCCCCCTGTGTGCAGCCTTCCCGAGCTCCATTTTCACTGGTAGATGGCTGCAGGATGCGGTCATTGCTGAAAATGGAGCCTGGGTGGGCCATCATGGCAGAAAATGGAGCCTCGATTGATATTGAGTTGGCCAAGGCTCCTGGCCATACGCCCCCCTCCCTGGATATCAAACACAACCCTATTGCGGCTCTCAATGAAATTGAGCTTGACACCCCTACTCTATAAAATCACTTGTCAAAACTTTTTTCCCTTCTGAGCAGTGAACTGAACTGAGAATGTAATTCTGCATTTGGCCATTTTATTTGTTTCAGAAGTTTTATCATGAAAACTAGTTTTGTGCAAATTTATTTTACATTTTGTTAGTGGGTAAATGAAACTTGGGAGATACGATACTCTGGATCTCACAGAAGGAGTCACAGATAAGAAAATGATTGGATAGAAATATTGTGCTTTTTTCAGATTGTGCAAATTACCAACACTGCTTTTAACTAAGGGGAAAAAATATCTTGTTGTGTTTCATCATGAGTGAGATTGGCAGAACTTGTTTCTTAATTTCATGGATGTTTGCTTAAAATAAACCTCAGTTACGTAAGATGCAAGTTCATAATACTGTAATTTCTCAGCATGATCCTAAATAGGCTCTGTTGATCGTTAATTCACTCAGGAAATAATTCAGATCTCATTTGTAAAGGGTTTATCAGAGTATAGGAGATATTGACTCTGAACCAAGTTGGATAAAATTTTTAATATTTAAGGGCCAGGTACATCCAAGAAAGGAAACAGGAAGATAAAGAGACTGGAATGTTACCCTTCTGATATGTCACTTATGACTTGATTTCCAAAGCTATTCCTGTCATTCATAAAATACAGTCTTCCCTTTCAAAATAGTTGGAATTCAATTCATAGAAGTCGAGATGGAAAAATAAATGTCAGTGAGAGGAAAAGAAAGAAGACAGGAAGGGAAACGATTAAACAGTATGTAAGAATATTGATTGAGAAAATAGAGAAGTAATGAAGCAATACCATTTCTGCAATCATTTATCAGCACTAGTGATAAATTATTCATCTTTTTTTTCTGGTTTCAAACAAGCAGGATGATTCCAACAAAACCCAGCACATAAAGTAGTTATGAGCGCTTTCATTCCAAAGATGAATTGTATTTCTATGCCTTGCACATGAAAAAAACTATCTCATTGAACAATCTGGATATAATGCAGGCATTGCTAATATTAAGATATCCATGCATCATAAGAAAACTGTACATAATGCAAAAATACAAATAAAATAAAAAATAATAATGATGAATATCCTTAGAACAAATGGCACAAACAACTATCAATTTTATTTAGATTTCCATTAGTTTCTTTACAACTCTCTGGGGTGAACCCTAGTGTTTCCCCCATTAGTCTAAGAACAAATTCTTCTCTAGTTATGTATATCATATAACTCAAAATTTGTTAAATTGTTTCAATCCAGGAGAAAAATATATCTGAAACAAGTAAACAGAGAGTCACATAGGGAGAGATACAGACATATACACATTCATGTGCACATACAAACACACACTCCTGCCTACACACACACTCCTACCTACCTACACACACACACACACACACACACACACACACACAAACACAGCACTGAACACTACTATCAAACAACTGGAATTGTATTGGTTTAAGCTCTTCGGATGCACCGTTATATGGTTATAGCTTTCTGTTGCTGTTCAAAGTAAAAAAAAATGTTAGTATTGGAAACCTGTAAATATTTTTCAGATTTTGTTGTTGTTTTTACCTTTCTTGTGAGGTCTCACTGAATTATCCCATCCTGTTTATATCCTATGCAAATGAATGAAAGATGCTGATCTAGACTCAATTAATGACTAAATGTAGACTCAATTAATGACTAAATGTACTGTGTCATCTCTCTCTCTCTCTCTCTCTCTCCCTCTCCCTCTCCCTCTCTCTGCCCTCCTTCCCTCCCTCTCTCTCTGCCTTCCTTCCTTCCCTCCCTCTCCTCTCTCCCCATCTCACCCTCTCCCTCTCCCCTTCTTTCCCATCCCTCCCTCTCCCTCCCTTTCCCCATTCTTTCCTCCCTCCCTCTCCCTCCCTCTCTCTCCCCTTCACACACACACTAGGCAAAGGTTTTTCAAAACTATCCCTTGTTATTCTATAATGGCAGCCTTGTTTTTTAGAAAGGAATTCACAACCAGCTATTTTACTAAGGAGTTAGCACCATTTGTAATAATTAAATGCCATTAGAAGCTATTTACAGGACAACACTCTCTGGTCTTTTTAATCTTCAATGCCAATAAACTGTGCAACAATAATTTCCTAAATCCAGAAGTGCAATATGTTCAGTGTTTGCTTTGATCCATTTGTTACCACCGCATCATTCAGCATATAACTGGAAGCTACTTAGGCTATAATCTTTCATTCTTGCCTTGCTATGCAAAAAATAAAGAAATGTCACTTGAGAAAAATGCCCAGGGCATCTCATCTTCAAGCTGAGAAGTCACTGCAACTGACTGGGGAAAGAAAGCACTTCGATGGGAAATCTCTCAGTCTTAAACAAGATCTGCTTTACTTGAAAGCACATTGGTAACTCTTGCCATAAATTTCCATTCACTGTGGGATATATATAGGAAGAGATAAAAGGGAGTTATCATAGCACATATACAGGTACCTAGATGGCTTCTGTGCAAAGAAGAAGAAATGCTGTGTGTTAATGAAGCTTGGAAAATATAGTTATATTAAAAAATTATTTGTCAAGCCAGAATAATCTCTTGAGAAAAGAGATGTGGACAGACTGAAGTTTCAGATGAAGCCACAAGAACTAAATGACTAAATGTTGAGAGTGAGATGGTGGTACTGTGTCATCTCTCTCTCTCTCTCTCTCTCCCTCCCCCCACCTCTCTCCCCTTCACACAAGAATCCATGTATTTGCATGTTGGGACTTCAAAAGCCCAAAGCAGTACATGAGACAAAAGCTAAAATTCCAGGATAAAGTCAACTAAAGCTACAATAGATATTAAAGAAGCAGCAGCATTTTCCATGTTTTAGAGAAAGAAACTTTATTTTTGGTTTTGCAGTCTGCTACACTGTTAAAGTTTGGGCAGAATTGGTGCTGGTTTGGGGTGAATACATTCATTACAATGTATTCAGAAAACATGGTTCTCTCAAAGATAAACTCTGTTTAGACATTCTTTCTTTTTGAAATAAGAGATTTTGTATGAGGCCAAATCACAGCACATAACCACAACAACCATTCAACAACCACCCCCATGAAGAATGGTTC